TCTGGATCGGTTGTAGGACGATGAAAACGAGACCATCCCTCCTAAAATATGAGTCATGACTTATTCAGGTGAATTCAGATGTACCCCCATATCACTCTTTTCGCCGAAGCTATCGAAAAAGTGATATGTGAGAGGTACAGCCAATCCAGAAAAGGATGGCATCTTCTCCTCAAAAGCACCAGCTCGCTTGTGCAGATCCATCCTATTCGTGATCTGGGTAAGGTTAAGTGCCCTGCTGGATTGAAGGAGAATAAGAGCTTCTAGCTCAAACCAAAACCTTACTGGCTCATGAAGTCGTAGTATCTGCACACAAGCGAGCTAGTGCATTTGAGGAGGGAATGCCATCCTTTTCTGGATTGGCTGTACATTCAAGATCACCAAAGGAAGGGCGATTGCGTGCTAAATAGATTGATGGCAAAAAACACGCCGTTCGACCTTGCACCTTGAAGCCGAATGGACATATTGAAGTTAATGCCGCAGGAGAAATAATGTGCCTCAGGCTTCAAGCACTAGACCGATATACTAAGAGGCCCATTTCGATCATGGATCAATGTTCACGACACAAGGGGGAAGATTTCCTGGCAAATGGCCGATTGATTTTCGCAGCTGGAACTTTACAGTTGTCCCTGCCCATGAAAAATTGGTCTAGACACTCACCGCTCGAGAGGAGTGTTTGCTTACACACATCCTTCTCGCTGTTTCATCCAATCAGTTGTTCTATCTTGTTCTATCCGATTAATCCCCCATGAAGCAAAGCTCTCGTTCCCCACTCACACCCATCTGAATTTCAGGGACTTGATCGGTCGCTTGAACAGGACTCCTCCATTCTCAAAGTAAACTTTCGCAGATTATTCTCGCTTCTCGATTTTTCCCCGTTTCAGGACTTAGTATCACCCCAAAAAAATTCAGAGAATTCAGGCGGATTTCTTGTTGTAACATCAGGGAAGGCAAGGCCGAAAAAAAAGTAACATCAGGGAAGGCAAGGCCTAAAAAAAAAGGGGGGGGGCGGCTTCAACTCCCCGCCAGGTAAACTTAATTGAAGTATGTAACCCGAACTTGATAAAAGGAGCAGCAACAAAATTTTAGGGATGACTGTGGCGACTTCCTCCCTCCAAGCAACAAACTGAAACCAGTGCATACAACCTAACCTTCAGCCCAAAATGAGATAGAGATGAGTCTTGGACTTCTTGGAATACTTTTTTTGGTGGGTTTCATGTCGAGAGTGCTACACTGCAACTTGATGGTAAGTTAAACTTCAACTTCCAGCAAACTTAGAGCATCTCCACCGCGGGTGGTAAATCCGGGGTGGTAAATGTCGGATTTACCACCCGCATTCCAGAGTTGCCACCTGAGATCAGGCAGGTGCGCCACTGCAAAGTTGTAGACCTTGGCTGAGGATTGGATGAGCGAGCGACATTGGCTTGTGAAAGGGTTACACATATCGGGGTTTCACAAGCGGGATGGCTGGTTTCACACATGCGCGAGAGGTGCCTGGGGTGGTACACGAGTGGTAGATCTACAACCTCGGTACATTTTTTGGACCCGAGATGTTGCTTACCACCCCGTATACCACCCGCGGTGGGGAGGCGTTTTGGAAATTGGGGTGGTAAACGGGGCTTACAACCCGGATTTACCACCCGCGTTGGAGATGCTCTTAAGCTCCGGTTTCAGAGGGCAAGCGGCTGTGCCTTGAAGTGCCCGTGCAGCGCAGGAGAGTGTCCTTTGGATTCAAGATGGACCCTTGACATTTGAGATGCTGTTAAGCTACACCTACGTTAAAGATTTGTCTTGTAGATAACCTGACCTATACATTTTCTTTGAGTTGAAAAAATTGTAAAATTCAAGACAGGCTTCTTTGATCCAAAGCCTCTGCTACAAGGGTCACATTTCCACAAGTCAGCATGATGAAGCTTTGTTTTTCTCCTAGAGATTAGGAACATGCCCAGGTTGGTTTGGGGGACATGGTTACATATCATATTCCATTTGAATAAGGAATATAGTACATTCCTTGTTTTAAAAAAAGGATTTGGAGAAGGGTAAACTTGAAGGAGAGTCAATGAGCCAAACTTTCGCTCACAAATCACACAACATAGAGAGATAAAGATGAAAATAAACATGATTGAGGAGACAAAGAAACACACTGATACTTGCAGCACCATGATAAGAACCTGAGCTTGGACAAGAATACAGCTAATTCCAGAAAGGTTGTTGCACTGGGTGTGGATTTTCTTTCAAGACAAACTGCTGGATATGCATTTAATCCCAGAAATATTTTCACCTTGAGACAGATTTTCCAAGCAGAAATCAAGGTATATTCAGGTTAAGAGCATCTCCAGTGGCCCGGGGGTGGATTGGCTTGTGTTTACAGGCCCGCGACCTCATGTCACGGGGGTCGCGGGCCAGCTCCAATTATGGCCTGGCTGTATGTGAGCTGCTGTAGTAAATACAGCCTCCTGCAACCACACTCCGATATACCATCACTCCCCAGCATGCAAAATATCCTTGAATGGATGGACGACGATGATGATGTCCTCGCCGCATTTCAAGCAACAACCAGCGTAATCATCCAGCAAAGGCAACCCAAAAAACGAGGCGGTTCAACAGTCGGAAGGAGGGAAATTCATCGAAATCGACTCCAAGGCCACCAGCAGCTATACAACGACTATTTCAGCGTGGAACCTACGTATCCTGAAGAGACTTTTCGTCGCCGATTCCGGATGCAGTGTCGAGGCCTATTCCTCAAAATCGTGGAAGACGTCGAGAATGCCGACCAGTACTTCGTACAAAAACGGGACGCAGCAGGCAGACTAGGCTTTTCACCTCTTCAAAAGGTGACTGCTGCTATGAGGATGCTTGCATACGGATGCAGTGGGGATTCCTTGGATGAATACCTTCGTATGAGTAAGTAGTCATCTTTTCTTTCCTGTTTGCAATTCATCTTGAAGCTGAGCACATTTGATCACAAACAGGTGAAACGACAGCCATTGAATCTTTGAAAAAATTTTGCCAAACGATTGTTCGGATTTACAGCGAAGAATACCTCAGAAAGCCGAACAAAGAAGACACTGCTAGACTCCTGGCCATTGCAGATGAGCGAGGATTTCCAGGAATGATGGGATCCCTTGATTGTATGCATTGGTGTTGGAAGAATTGCCCGGTGGCTGACCAGGGGCAATATAGTGGCAAGGAGAAAGAGCCGACTGTTGTTCTCGAAGCGGTTGCCTCCTACGACCTTTGGATTTGGCATGCTTTCTTCGGACTGCCTGGCACCTTAAACGACATCAACATCTTGGATCGGTCCCCCATCTTCGAGCAATTACAAGAAGGCAAAGGTCTTTCGGTTTTGTATGAAGTCAATGGAAATCCATATCATCTTGGCTATTACCTCACCGACGGCCTCTATCCACCGTATGCAACGTTAATCCAATCAATCTCCGAGCCACAAGGAAAGAAAAAGAAGCACTTTGAAAAGATGCAAGAGAGCTATTGCAAGGACATCGAACGGGCTTTTGGTGTTTTGCAGGCTCGTTACGCAATTGTACGCTTCCCTGGTCGTTTCTGGAAACACGAAGACCTCTCTGACATAATTTCAGCTGTGATAATACTACACAACATGACCATCAAAGACGAGATTGGAAGCCCTTTTGAAGGGGACTTCACTTACCATCAAACACCTCAAACCCAAGCCGAAATCACTAGGAATGAACGCAGCAATCAATCATTTGAAGAATTCATGTTGCGGTACCAGGCGATAAGGGATCGCAAATCACATACCTGTTTGCAGCAAGATCTTATCGATCATCTCTGGAATAAGCATGGATCTGAAGAGGAAACAGGCGCAACCAACTAGTTTCCTTTTTTCATTGTTTTCTCTCTGTTCTCTCTGTTTCCTCACATTTGTTATACTATTTCTCTTCTTTTTTCACTGTTTTCTCTTTGTTTCTTGTCATCTTGTCACTTGTTTTTTTATATTTGAAACGATTGGAATTGAATCTTATTGAATCATGATACAAAGACCGATTTGGTCATTGAACGGAGAGAACAATACTCTGATTTGGAGTGAGAGCTCAATCGGATCGGATGTATTTCTTGAGAAAAAGATAAAAACCTCATTGATTGAACAAGATTTGTTTTTTAAGATAAGGAAGAAAAGAAATTGATTGATTGAAAAAACTTCATCAATTGAACAAGAGTTTGCATTTAATAAAAGAAAGAAATTTAATAATCAATATACGAGAGAGAAACAAAGAGAGAAGTGAATGATTGACAAATCAACAATTGATCAATAATCAAGCCTCAACTTCTTCCTCTCCAGTGACATCTTCTTCTTCAACATCGTCTTCGTCATTGCGCTCTTCTTCAGTCTCTTCTTCTTTGTCTTCATCCTCCTCAGCTCTCTCGCGTCCGCGCCTCTCTTTCTCTTCCTTCTCCTTTCTCTCCTTCTCTTCCCTCTCCTTTCTCTCCTTCTGTTCTTTCTCCTTTTTCTCCTTCTCTTCCTTTTCTTTTTTCTCTCTTTCTTCATTCTCTTTTTCTTCTTGTAAATCACAAGCGATTATAGCTCTTTTCTTTTTTTGATAATAAGCTCGGGTCTTGTCGTCCAAAGTTGATTGAGTTGCTGATTTCATGGAGGACAATCGGTCTCGCGAGATCTGAACGAGGTCTTTTTGCAACGCCACCATCTTTTCGATTGACGACTCTTCGGCTCGCTTACGTTTGGCTGCCTTATTTCCTTCAAGACGCACGCTCCCCAGGACCAATCGGCTAAGATCAGACTCGTCCTCGTCTAAATCAATGACCGCTGGGCTTGAGGTCCTTGGGGTTGAACTCGGAAGGTTGGTAGGGGTTTGGGATGTACTGGGTTCTTTGGCCTTCTTGGATCGACCCGCGTTCTCTTGTTGATTAGCCTGCCATTTTGGGGCATCCTTCAGAATGCCCCAGCAATGGTAAAGGTTGATGGTTGATCCAACTGTGGTTTTGTACAGCTCTTTCGCCTCGGTAAGCTAATTTGAACCAGTGGCAGAAGCAATAGATGGAATTAAGACATGTATGTGTAGATAGAAAAAAGTAAAAAAAAAACCTACAATATCAGCGCGTGTCTTTCCACTTTGCAAACGACATTCGACCGTTGAATAGCAGCCAGAGAATTTGTTGAGGGCCTTCAATATGAGTCCCCAACAACATTCAACCCCACCGACTAGTCGTAGAGGGAGCTCCTTGAAACCAGTCGAGTTCTTCTTGTCCGTGTTGTGTTCCTTGACGAGTTTGATGTAATTTTTGTGGATTCGTTCCCAAAACGTTGTGGCCTTCTGTCCTCGCCCAACAATGGCGTCCCGACTGGTATTTAACCACGCAACACACAGTTTTTTATCCTCTTCTATCGTCCAATTTGGGCTTTTCTTTTTGGTTGTAGTATCCTCATCAGGTTTTAGTGTGGTTTCTTGTGTCGGTTTTGGTGTGGTCTCTTGCACTGGTTTCGGTGTTGCGTTGTTTTCGAGATTCTTTTTTTTTTTTTGATTTTGAAACTGTTTTCGGGGTTGCTGTTTCATTGTCGTTGGTTTTTTTCGCACCGGATTTGCTATTTTTCTTCCTAGGAGAACTCCGAGTCGGGGTGGCCATTTGGTTTGAAGGAATGGGGAGCTTGTGTGGGAGATGTTGGTGGGATTTGTGATGTGGAGTAGGTGGAGGAGTGGACGAGAGGTGGATTGCGGCTGGGGATTGGGCTGCCAAAGGTAGCAGGTGGTCGCGGGTTTGAGAGCCACTGGGGATGTGTGGCGGGTTGTTTAGCAGGACCGTTGGAGCACAAACTCCAACGGGGGCCGTCAAATTTGGTCCCCGGTCGCGCAATAGCAGCTCCGTTGGAGATGCTCTAAGTTTGCAAATCCATCTAAAAAATTGCACTAAAACAGTAAGTCCACTGCCAAAATTCTGTTTGAGTTTGCAGATGAATTTGGTGTATCCAGCGGGTTTTCTCAAAGGAAAATCCACATCCAGTTTGACAACCTTTCTGGAATCATCTGTACCAAATACATATGCAAACTCAAACTCAAACAGCATTTTTGCAGTGAACTGAATGTTTTAGCACAAGTTTGTAGATGGATTTGCAAACTTAATCTGAATCTCTCTTGGTTTCTTCTTGGAAAATCCAGCTTTAGGTGAAAACCTTTCTGGAATTAGCTGTAACACTACTCACTAGTGTGAGGTTTGTTTTTTTGGTAACTTGGATTATTCTTGGGCTGGCCTGGTGTGGAACCAAACCTACTCTAGTTTCAAAGAACTAACACCAACCTGTACTCACAACAACTGAATCCCACTTATAAACCAACAACTGCCCCCCCCCCAAACTTAACACAAGCCCCTTTCCCTTCTCTCCTGTGAAGTTGCCTACACTGACCAAAGGGAGGGACTTGCAAGAAAGCGGGCCAAAATGGGGTGAGAGCCTGAGTGGCTTGAAACAATTTTGGCAGGTTAAACATTTCAGCACCCAAAAAAACCATCTTCCCATTACTCCCTTGCATCACCCTTGGGGCCATTTTGAAACTCGACTTCTCCTCTCTGATCCTGGGCTTCCATATGCCTGTGAGTTGTTTGATGAGATTTTGAGAACCAAGGAAAATTTTTGTTTTTTTGTTGCTGTTTTTTGATCATGTAAGTGATTGAGAAAGTATTCTTCTCACTGTTTCTGCATTATGTTTTGTAGAGCTCTGTACCAAAGTACTGGCCCATAGATGTAAAGGTTCTTACAGCTCTGTACCAACAAGCTTACGGACTTCTTGGCACCTTTTTTCTTTTTTTTTGTGCTCTCTTATTTTTCTTTCTCTATTTCTAAACAGAGAGATGAAGGTCATCTGTGACTGGATTCCTCTGAAATTCTATGAGCTGATGCGCACTAGCCAGCCAATGCCATGGCCTTGAGGGCAGTCACTTTGGGAAAAAGGCCAATCTTTAAAAGAATAAAAGCTAAAAAAAGGCAATACATGCCTTGGAAGATGGGGCCCTCAGGCCTCCAGTCCTGTCTTCCCCGTAGGACTCTCTGTGAGACAGATACCTTTCAGGCCTGTAGGGAGGCTCTTGAGAGGCCTTTTTAAGCTTGCCCCCCCCCCCCCCCCCCTTCCTAGCTTGGTAGAGATTTTACAACCATCTTCTACCATGCTAGGTGAAACTTTTCATTCTATTCTTTCTCATTTTTTTTTACTTCTTTCCTCCTCTTTATAACTTATTATACTTAGGAGAGAGATTTGACAACCATCTTCTACTGTGCTTCTAGAAATCTCTTCAAGACTCTGTCTTGTATCCAACTGTCAGCGGTGAAGACATCTCAGCTGACATAGTAACATGAATGAATGGGATGAACATTCATCAGACTCCTTTGCCAATGGCAATCAGAAAGATTATATTATTATCTTGAAAAAAAGGAAGTTCACCACACCAGGAAAAATCAATGAAAACTTGATGACAAGTGACATCAAGCCAGCTCCAGTGTACTACCCATTACATATCCAGCTCAACTCTGCCTTAGCCCCCTGTAGCACACAAAGTGGTCATTGCAGCTGGGTTACAACAGAGACAGAGCTACATGGGAGCAGCAATCAATGTTACATGATGTCACTTGACATCTAGTGAGCATGGATTTTTCCTGGTGTCAACAATCTGAATTCCTTAGTAAGGGAACTTGTCATTGAATTTGCTTAAATAAACTACCACATCATACACAGGTACATATCCATAGCATCAGCTTGATCAGGATAAGCCCAACCAGCAGCTGGAAAGGAAAAAAGAATAGATTCCATGGATATTTCATTCTGCAAAGACAGATTGTAAAAGAAAGTGAGAATTGTTCCCTAAACACAAATACAAACTACATGTATATATACATGCATATATACATACACATGGTCTCTACTAATCTCTTTGACAGAAAGAAACAAAAAAAAATTATACACAACATATCTGCACATAAAAATCCAAGGGGAAAGAAAGAGATATTGAAATGTGTATTAGGGATTGTTTTGTTTGATTAACAATGGCGTGGCAACTGGAATGTCTATGGCATATAATAGAAATAGTCAACAACACCAATATTAGATAGAAACTTGAGTGTTTTTTTCTTGTCTGTTTTTTTTATGAATAGCACTTTTATGAAGACTGATGATGCGAATTCAAAGAAAGAGGGATGTGCTTTTTTTGTTCAATTTTCAATTTTCAACTTTCTTGTTCTTCTTTGATGACCGATTCAAGCGAGTGTGACTTGAGATGATGATAGTTTGAAGGGGTATCTTTCGAGACCGTTGCATTCTCTTTGATCTGATTGAATTCTGCGATTGTGAAGAAAGAGAGAGAGCAAGAGACAAGATTAAAGAAGACGATAAGTTAGAGGGATAAAGGCGTCAAGAAGCTCTGGAATTCTAAATTATCCTAGCCCAAATGATCTTACCCATTTGTTTCAATAATTTCTGATCTTCATCGTCATCGATTTCCAGTTTCCCGGATGAGTTCACTCCTCCAGATGGTAATAGAAACGAGGGAGCAGTCGTATCAGTCGAAGTCTTCGGGATCCGGTGTAACAATCCAAATCCAATCGAGCAACCCAACAATCCTTCACCTGATCCCCAAGAACGCTTCCAAACCGTAAGAAATAAATCATTATTAATAAGATACGCTTTTTTGGTTAGGTTGAAGATTGAATGAAATTTCTGACTCACGTTGGGCACAATGACTACTTCCCTGGTTACTTCATAATCAGCATTGTAGACAAATAATCGTAAAGGTCTTCCTTCGTGCTATGCCATAAAAATAATATTTCCAAGATTGAAAGAATGTTTAGCGAGTTAATTAATCTTCTCTGATATCCTGTAACCAAGCATACGGATGATTTGACCAAGTACGAACTTCTTCTACAACTTCATAGAGCTCATTTTCGCCTCTCAAGATTCCACCTGCATATCCGATTATCCAGTCTCCAAAGGGTACCAGACCTAGACGAATGAGACTCTTAGGAATCAGAAAACCGGTCCTTGTCGAGGGTTGAAAATCTAGGGAATCTTGAGCTATTATGTAGACGTACCAGCATCCTGAGCAGGAGAGCCTTCAACAATATCTAACACGTGCCATACCTTACAAGAGAATCGAACCGTCTTAGCTGGAAAACAGAACACCGTCAAAACAATCAAATAGTGGATCTTACGTTGGCCAAAGCGTTTTGAGGACTACAAAGCCTTAACGAGAGTCCTAAGAGGGAAGGTTGCGGTTGTTGATCATTGGACGACAAGTGATTATTTGATGACCATTTTCGATTGGGCGATGTTTGAACGTCTACATATTTAAATGATAAAATTTCATTTTCCTTTTAGTGATACAAACATAATATAGATCTGAAATCGGGTGAATGAAGAGAAAAATGCAAGCTGACTTCGAACCTCTTGTTTCCGTGAGCTATAGACTTGCAAAGTGATCGATTTTCCTTCGGCTTCGTCGAGCCAATTCGCCAATTTCTCGCCATCCTCTGTCTTACAAAGATCAAAACCGATCGATATAAAAAAATTCAGTTGATGATGCTTGTTGCCATATACCAATACATAAGCAATCAGAATATGTAAACACTACTAACCACTTGTTGACCGCCAATCCCGACGATGTAATCGAAAAACGGCTCGATACCCGCCTCTGCGGCAGGAGAGCCTTCGGCGACTCGGAGGACGTGGTAGGCTTTGAGAGCTGTTGGATCCAGACCGGAGACTGAACCCAGGTGTGATTCTTGAGCACCCATGACAACTGATGATAGTCTATTCCTAAGCTGAGCGGTCCAAAATGTGAGTTATCTAGAATTCCTTCTTTCTCTGGGATGCAGGACGAGGTAGGATTGGGATCTGAAGAGTTGCAGTTATGGATTGATGTATTTCCGAAGCTGATGACCATGCGTTGTCTTGGTATTGATGGATGCTGTATGTGAGTTGGTGATGGGATGGTCATGAGACTGAAAAAAAAAGTCAGACTCAGCGGAACTGAACTCGAAACACAGCAATTTGGGTTCCCCACAAGACAACCGACCATCCCACTCAGCCCACCAGGGTACGCTGCATGCCACTCAACAAATCAAGGAGAACTGGGCAAAGACACACCAACTTGCACTTCACAAACAAACTAAAACGTATTGATTTGTACTTTTAAGTTGGGCAGGGGCTCATAAGGCCATCCGGCTTGTCCAAAGACTCATGACTGGTGCCCGCTCATCAGATCAGAACATAGGAACATCAATACCAAAGTTGTATCACAAAGGGCACTCTAGAAGAATCTCCAAACCCATACCAGTTTCTTTGGAACCTGGAGAAAGCAGTCCTACTCCTATATAACTCTATTGAGATTAAAAAAAACTGATGCCTCAAACTTAATCATCACTTGTGCATTGGTTTAGATTTTTGCAAGCTTGCTTCCAGCCAGTGTGGTATTTTTCAAACTCTTATTGTTAATCCTTGAAATAGACTAACCAAAAAGATTGACCACATGATCATTGATTGAGTCACACTTACAGTAAGAGATATTCCTTTATGTCAGGGAGTAAATTTTTCAATACAAGCCGTCACTTCTGCATCACAATTTTGGGTAAGGGATTTGTGAGTGATTTTTCTTTCCCTTTTCTGATTAAAAATGAATGTTGGAATTGATGGAACTGGAGTAGGGTTCAAAGAAACCTGAGAAATTGAGGTTATATTGCTTAGCATATGATCAGAACACAATAAAACTAGCATTTACAACAAACACTACAAAAGACAAAAAAATGACTCCCTGCTGACCTGTGACAAAAAATCCAGGATGTTTTTGGGAAACTGTTCCCAGATTTGGTATGAGTTACTGGAAAGATGGAAGTTATGGGCAAAAACCATTTTTTTTTATACCTTATGGGTACCAAGTTCGCCGATGCTCCTGAGAGTTATTCGATAGCAATGGTGATGGCTAGTGCATGAACGAAGACCAAAGCCTTGCAGTGAATAGTCCACAAGTTTTTTGGTAAAAAAAACCACCTCAGACGTATCCTCAACTCACTCATCGTTACCTATCATCGATCCCAACCCTTACTTCACGGCACCTTTGCAATGCCAAAATCCAGCTCACCAGCAGTGAGTGAACTTTTCATAAACGGTGCCCACATCTTCCCAATGTTTATCAATCGAGAATGATGTTTGATTTTCCAAGAATCTGTCGGCTGTCAGTTGAATCCTTTGTACAATCCTCAGGCTTGCGGCATCACAGTTTTTCTGTTCCTGACGGCTGCTCGTGGACTTTCATGGACGCGTGGATTGATTTGACCTTGTTAAATTGTGGTACTCCGGTTTTCGCCGAAGACGCGGGAGTTATGGGTCTTGGGCCAAGACATGTGTCCGCAATGCTATCGTTTCATTCCATCTGCATTCAATTTCAAGTGTTGCTAACGACTTGAATGCAAGTGCATCGGAATGGAACACAGAAGGTCGGTCAGATTTTCTGTACCTGGCTTCATCAAAATTCCTTTGAACCTCACAGTTACACGTCACACGTTCACCATTCCCGCATTAAGCGACAAAAACTTGGTAATCTCGTGCATTGTCATTTATATTAAGTTTTGACTTGTTTGAAGATAGATGGTTGGAGTCTGAACAGTTTTGCTACACAGGTTATGCAAAGTAAATTTCCTGTGCCTCGGAACGTGCCGGGCTTTCTCCTTCAAGATTAGAAGTCCAAGTCATAATTTTCAGTTGATTCCTTCACTCCAACGAAAAGCGCTGCGAGGTTCAATCCGCCTCGTGCATCAGGATGTCTTGCGCCGTTAATTTTTTGACCATTGCCTTTCTTACAGTGCTGATTGCTTTTGGCTTGGCTTTAGAAGACCGGGATGGAAAGCCTATGGAACTGCTGTTCCGCGAGTGGGCCGATGCCCAATCTCACAGTACTCGGGACGATATCAGGCGCCCTGACTTGATCATCAGTCATGTCCCCATCAATCATCCGACCCCGGTTATTCCAATCGGTGAGCAAGATTCTGTCCCAACCTAATTAAAAAAAGTGTTAGCAGTTGAGCAAGCTTGGAATTCATGCAAACGCAGGAAACCATGCGGACTTGGTGCACAACACTCGTGACCTTCCACCGCTTCCGGAAAGCATTCAACCCCAGAACGAAGGTCCGATTACTGACTTGGCTGAACACGATCAAAAATGGAACCTCCGTAGCGAAACCGCATCATGGCGTCGAGGAGAAGAATCGGGGAAAACTACTGACTATTTGACGGGGTACCAGGTGGCTAATCCTGGTGCATTCAACCCAATTAGCTTCCCGAAAATTCGCTGGCCGTTCGCCTTAGACGCGCTCCTCCCGGTTCCAACATTCAAAAGAAGCCGATTGAATGGACCTTCAACAGACTTAGCCGTACAACCTGATCTTCAAAATGTGCCTAACTTACCTCAAAAACCAACGACACAAATCCGTGGAATGGATCAAAAGATGAAGTCAATCACCACAATGCAAGAAACTCAAGACGGCGGCTTGTCCAGAAAAAAGACAGTTTCAAGCAGCAGCACTTCTCGCAAGAAAGGCAATGCTAAAAAGAAGTCATACCCGATGAAAGACACCCTTACAATTATTTCTGAGCCCTCGCCATCACAAGTAAATCTCAAAAGCGTCGAATTCAAAAGGCTTGAATTTAGGGAGGAGGTCTTCAAAGATGACTCCCTATTGCCAGATCATCAATTCAAATTAGCAAGAATTGAGGAACTATTCAAGACCCTGGAGGTCGATCAACTCTTTATCCCAAAAAGTGATTACGCTCTATGGAAGAAAACATTGAACAGGTTTTATTTTATTAATAGGCATGCAAAATCTAGTGCCACAGAGCGGATATATGTTCAAGGCAAGATAGGATTTTTGGGTCGCTCTTATCAGGAATTATGTGAACATCAACATCTGTGGTTTAAGTTTTGGGAAAGTAGGAGCTTGATCAATTTGTACAAAATCGACCTTGACCAATATGAAGATGAACCGTTCAAAGAAATGAAAAAATTGTTTACTGTGTATTTATTCTATGTTGACATGATTGAGACAATCATCCAAGGAACTCAACCATTGATTTCTGAAAGCCATCCTGATTTTCTTCAAGAGTCAGTCAAATTGTTCAATATGTTCAGGGTAATGCAGTACCATGAACATCGGAATAACAAAAATACAAAGACTACTCAAGCAAAACGGATCCCACAAGTCCTGTGGCTATACTTGGAATACTGGATGAAAAATTCTAGCAGGAAAGATTTGTGGGAATATCTAATGCCAAAGCAAGATTTAATTAACAAATTCAAAGGGTTCTTCAATGATATTTTTGCTTACTCTATCAAACATTTTAACAATCAATTAATTGCTTCATCAAAAAAAAGAAAAATCCATATGCTTGAATAAAAACACTTAATTTTTTGTTACTTTGATTTGATTTTTCAAATTGGAAACTTAACAATGATGATAGGTCTGCATAATTTTTGGATGGTGATTAAGCTATCTTTGAAGTGCTGTAAAAACACAACTGGGAAGCTGTCAGCCTGCTACTAATCAGAGCCAGCCTGAGCATAGCATTTTACATATAAATTAGAGATATTATTACTTACATATGTACATACATTTAAAATAATAAAATATACTATTTAAATAAGTGGAAGCACTATAATAGAGACATTATTACACAGTACATTTTACATTGCAATATTTTAAGAAAAATTAAATAAATAATGGAAAATAACATTTTTTAACCAGAATACATTAATAACTTCTGAACCTTAAAGTAAAACTCAGAATATTATTTCAGATTCTGAATCTACATGTAAAATAACCTAGGGTAGCTCACCAAGGGTACCCCCTAATTGTTACTCCTTTACTTACTTTGTAACCCTTGAAGTGATATTGGGCCAGAATACACGGTAGACCCCTCCAGTTACATCATTCTGCAGGTTGCCAGGGGGCTACAGGTGTAAACAAGGTTCATGCAGTTCGGGAAAAATCTACAAACAAGGTTTACATCATTGAAACCTTAACTACATGAGCACAGACTACAGTATTAAATTGTTTGGGATGATCCGTGGCCCTTTTTGGCCCAATTGGGACAATTACTCTCTTGAGGATCAACCCATGCATCATGCAGTGCTGAAAAAGGCTACAGGAGTGTTACAGTTTTGTCAGAACACCCTTTAAACATGGTTACAAGCATTACATCATCTCCTTGACACCTGTAACCAAGCTCTACAGGTACTACAGATGATCAGAATCTCCCACAGGCTTAGTAGGAGAGTTGTAGCAACTAGAGAGACTCCTGAGTTCGCCTCCAGAGGCCCAGAATGGGTATTTAAGAGCCCCTTCTTCCCCCTGAACTTTGATTCCCCATCTTCATCTTTACTTACCAGCATAAACAATCACCAACATCCAGTTTCAACCTGCCTTTTGGCCCTGTTCCTGCTGTTTGTAACCTGAACTTCAACCTTCCAACCCAACACCTGTTCCCCAGCTCCCTCAACATCTCTCACCCACCTTTCTGAGCGCCTCAAGAACAGTTCCCCCCTCCTGAAGACCTCCTTGGCTTAGAGATAAGTACTAGTAAGTATTATTTCTTTGATTCTTCAGTTGTAGGCTATTCTGGGCATACTCCTTTATTACAAAGGACCAGAGCATCAGTACCACCCCTGTAACCCAGGACCTGATATTAGAGGGCACCATAAAAACCCCTGTAACTCAGGCCCCTCTGTAAATAAAAACTATTAAAGTTTTTATTTACTTTTCTCTTTTATTTACAACACACCTCCACCACTTTTCACGTGTTACCCACACGTGTACACCTCTTTTTATACCTTTGCACCTAGTGTAGCTAGAAGAGTTTTGGCTCTTGGCATCACTGAGGCTGACAATTGGGGGTCTGGCCGGGAAATATCTTTATTTTCTGATACAAACCCTGGCCTTATTTTTTCTACTAAAAAATAAATAAAACACATAAAAAATCATTTATTTTTTCCACTGTTTTTCGAATTTTTTCCACTAAAATACCAAACCCATAAAACATATTATAAAACATAAAAATTCCCAAAAAAAAAAAAAAACATATCTTTTTTACTAAATCCATTTTTTTCTATCTTCCGCTTAGTGAATTTGGAAGAAACCGCTAAACTAATTCAGTACTACCTTACTCTCCTTGCGTCTGAAAAAGCACAGCGCGCAGCAAACTACCAACCCTCAGACTGGGAATTACTTACCCCAGACGAACAACGCGCCAGAGCTCTCAAACGCGTAGAGATCCGTGAGGACGAAAGAATCGCCAATCTGATTCTTTGGAATTCTGTCAAACGAGACCACAAGGAAAAGCGACGCCAACTCTTAGCTGAACTTCGTGAGAAAAGACTAGCCAAGAGTAAGCGATTATCCTTTTACACCTCCTCTTAAACATAATCTATCTCGAAAAGAATTCTCATTGATTCTTTTCTTCTCTTTTCTCGACTAACCAGTGTCGACTACCTCGAACTCTAGCGCTGCTACTACCCCAGCCGCCGGAACCACTCCCGTGTCCGAGACTGCTGCTAACAGTCCTAACATCAGTAAGTTTCTTATTCGAAAGAGATCCTTTTTATCACAGAACACCAAAACTAACTACACATAAACCAAATCTTTTATCATGTCTACTAGGTCGAACAATCCAGACCTCCACGGCCCCTTACCCCCAGCCACTCGACCGCGGCGCGGCCAATCAGCTGGAGGAGCGCGTGAACCGCCTGAAATTGATTACGATCCAGAAGAAAATGGCACCAGTGACGGTCGAGAGACCGACAGAGGCGATGTTGGCCGAGAACGGCTCAACTCCGGCCGTCGAGACTCCAGCCACGGCTCGAGCAACTCAAATCACGGCGAATACCGCCAAGAATCCAGCGGAGAAAGCCGCGGACGCGATGGATATAGATCCACAAGCGTCGAACTCCTCGGCGGATACCCAGCAACCCCTCAAATCGCCGGAGGTCAGACTCTTGTCGAAGGAAGAGAAGATCCAACTTCTCGTCAAAGAGCACGTAGCCCTTTGGAAGAAGTACTTAGCGGATCTACCCTTAGGCGCGTCGGAGGGCAACAGAGTACTCCTAACTCGAGCTCAAGACAGTCAAAGGACTCTTCAAAAATTAATACCTCGAGCGGAAGTCGAAGAGTACGTCAAGGGATGGAACCCCTGGACGGCGAAAAGAGACCTCTTCCCAGTTCTTCAACAGGAACACCTGTGTCACCTGAAAACCTCGGTTTTAAACCGATGATAAATGTGTCATCATCCTCGGTTTGGGACCGTATTCATGCTGGAGCTGGGTGAGATGGGGTGAGATGAACTTCACCACCATTGCTAAATAACTCTAAAGTCATCCATTCACCTCTATGAAGCACCTCTGAGTCCCTCACTACTCCAGTAAACACTTTGAGTGAGACCGGTCTAATCCTACTCACTCAACTCAACTCACCCTGTACAAGTGCTCAGCTCACCAGTCTCACTCAGCTCAAGCTCAGCTCACCCTGTACATGTACTCAGCTCATCCG